GCGGGAAGGCCAAATGAATGCAGACTCTACTTCCAAAAAGCCTGGGAACTTTGGGTGGTCAACTATGGCTTGATAAGTGCTATTTGTCTATTGAATGTTAAGCCTTTCTAGAAGATACAAATACAGCCCTTTCTCCCCCCCCCCCCGCAATTCAGTTATCCTTTTCTCATCTCCATTCACTTTTACTCTCCATTTTATATTCCCTTCGCAAGGCAGCTGCCCAGTTTTTCTCCATATTTCTGTCATGCATATTACAACAGTTTATGCATACCAGATGGAGAAAATGCGCAGATAACAATTGTAATAATGGGGTACTTTATTTTTCAGGAAATCAATTTTACTCAGTAATGCTTTTTAAATTTTGGCCTGGCTGTACATGCTTTTGGAAGGGGGTTTCTTACAAGTATATGGGTACACATTAAAAATGTGTCCTAGGCACACATCTTTGATTGCGAGGGGAGCCTCTGGGAGCCTCTGGGATTGATTTTCTTTGTAGCTGGCAAGTCAAAATTGACAAGAAGGGGAAGGTGGAATATTGCCCAGGATTTTTCTTTGTGTTGTTTTTCTTGTGTGCCTTGGGGAGGTGGCTATCTTGAACTCAGGATTGTAATCCTTTCAGGTAATTAATATACCGTCTTGTATCAAATGAGTGCACCTTGGTTGGCATAAATTGCATTTGGGACCAGATCTGAAGAGAATCCATTTTGTGGTATAATATCCTGGTAAACTGAAGATTCAAATTCCCATTCGATGATGAAGAGGCACAAAATCTCCACCCACCGGATGCAAGAATATCTTTTAAAATAGGAAATTGATGACCTGTGCTCTAAATAATGTGACAATATCAGGATTTATTATTTATTATCTATCCCCTGAAGTGGTTGGAGCAAATGAAAAAAGCAAACTAAAAGAGATCCTAGCCTGTTTTCCAACCAGCTGCAACACGCCTGCCAGTTGAAATCACAAGAAGTCAATCTTTTAAATGTTGGAGTAACATATTTTTTTTGTTTTAATATAGCCCCTGACCCAACTGCACAGCCAGGATAGGAATCAGGGCTTAATCTTTCAAAATTGTGCTATTTATGGAGCAGCTTCTTTGCCTTCATGTCAGCATGTTTTCACCTATGCTGCATTCTCTGTCCTCACCAAAGATAACAAGGCTGTGTTTATATCTTTCACCCAGATTTTCCCACTAGAAATGTTGGCTACAGTTTAACTCTGTGAATGTTTCTTCTGCTATGTTTGAATTCACTGCTAAGACATTTAAAATGCAAAGCAGACAAATGGAAGGTTCCTCTCAACTTCTTTTGGGTGAACCTTAAGTAGCAATTAAAAGAACAAACATGTTCCCAGTGTAGTAAAGCAAATTAAAACAAACATATGCAAGCCAACACATAAGTTGCACCATCACAGCCTTAATCAGCATACTTTGATTAGCTTGCCATATAATGGATAAATACAATATGATCTACAATACTCCCAGCAAAGATATGTAGGGGAAGATCACAATACTGTTACAAAAACATTAATTAATTTGAAATTCTTTTATATGGGAGGGAGGAAGGGAAAGATTTTAGTCTCCATATTTTAGCTAACTTCTCCTTTAAAAGGAATTGAAGATAGCTCAGGCTGATGGGTATTGTCTTCCAAGATGGCTGTATTCATGATGCAATAGGCTGGTGAAACTCTTCAAGCCACTGATAACTATCTCTTTCTTATGATTCTTGGGGGTATACACGACACTGCCAGAAGAGGTCTTATATCAATTTCCATAGGCTATGATTTTATGGGCATTAAGAAGAAAGATTGGGAGCAGATAAGTGTCTTGGTGAATTCAGCTGGTCCAGTTGAGGATCAAGACATAAAAAGAAAAAACAGAATCTTGGATGTGAACAACTGGCTACATAGGTAGTGCGGCTGAGAAGGGTTTGGGTTCCATGATTATAGACGGGGCTATTAGATGACAGACTTTTAACAAGGTTATACCTCATAAAGACTGACAAGGATGTTTTCAATAAGCACCACATGGTGCTCATCATTAAGGGTGTTAAAGAGCAGCAAATGGAAGAGGATGGCAGCAGCCCAGAACCTACTATGCTGTTAAATCCATGGCCAACACCACAGGAGAGAAAGGAAAAAGTGCAAGACTGGAGTGAGAGACTTAGAAATTGGCAGGAAACTATAAATATGAAGCCAGTGTGGAATGATGAAACTTGGTGGGATGCCATGTGATTGGAAGAGTCTGGAAAAAGACAGTTTATTCAAAAGGAACAGGCTCAGTTAAAAAAAGGTGTACTGTGCGTGCAACAACTTTTGAATGTACTTTGATTGGTCCAGAACACAGTGGTGAGATTGCTGGCAACATTGCTCCTTTTGAAGTTACTGCATTGATTACCAATCAGTTTGCCCCTCCCTCCCCCCAAAAAGGGCTGAATACAACTTACAAAGCTTTAAACAGCGTGCCAACGGGCTAGTTCAAGCACTGCCATGCCAAAATTCTTTCTTTGAGCCTTCAAATGATTTAACGGTGTTCATTTTGTACCAACCCATATATAAAAAGGTTGCTTTATATATGTATGCTGTTTCATCATTTTACTCTATTGTGATCCACCCAGAGTCTTTGGACTGAGGTGGGTTGTAAAAATTATAAAAAAGCTTATTGTAAACTATCCAGATAAAAGATATGGACGAAGCTTTTGAGCCAGATGATCACATTTTCAAAGAGGCACATAATAAGGATGATAGATTTCTGGTGGACTGGATATCTGCTGGAAATCTGTGTCTATCCTTTTTTGGCACCTCATTGTCAAAACAAGGAAAGAACAGAGTTGGATGGCATCAAAAGTTAAAAATAAACGTATGTATTTATGCATGTAACCAACTGGGAGGAAAGTGAAAGTTAATGAAACTTTGGAAGAATGTTTCATTGAGTTTCACAATTATAAGGGGAAAGACTAGTGGTTAGCTTTGTGTATTGGATTTCAGAAAAGCAGATTTTAATGAAATCAGATGGAAGGTGGATCAGATTCAATGGCTGGAGATCCTGAAAGAGAAGTGTTCAGGAAAGATGGGAAATCCTGAAAAATAAGCTATGGAAAATGCAATCATGCACAATTCTTACCAGAAGGAAAAGTGGAAGACCAGTGAGGTCACATACATTTTCTAACACGCTAAAAGAAAAAGGGACTTGTATAGGAAATTAGAAGAAGGGCAGGTAACCCAAGGAGGATATAAGGCAATTGCAAAAACAGACAACAAAAACAAACTACAGGGACTATGTCAGAAAAGTTAAAATTGAATCTAAGCAAAGCTTTTAAGAAATGCCACCGACAAAGCAAAGTTTTCAGATACTCAGAAACAAAAGAGATTAAGGTTGTAGGGTTTTTGTAAGGTGAATAGGGTGAACTGGAAATAAGTAAAAGAGCAGAAAATCTTAACTTGCTGTTTACATTAGTCTTCTCTCAGGAAACAAAATTCCAAAAGGCCATCAGTGTATCACTTGTGAAAGAAGAGAGCTTCAATTTTGAAAAAAGAATATTTCACTAGTTTAAATTAATTTGGGTTTCCAGGACCAGATGAATCTGACCCACCTTCCATCCGAGTTCATCAAGAAAGTAGTGTAGGAGATCTCAGAACAGCTAACTATCATCTTTGAGATGTCCAGAAGACCTGGATAAATTCCAGTCCCAATTGTGATCATAAGTCAAAGATTATCTGTATTTAACAGAAACACAGGATTCAAGTCATATATCTCTTTCTTTTCTCCAGGCCCAATTTGGAATACTAAGTCCAGGTCTGGGCACTGCAGTATAAAAGGACATGGACAAACTAGATGCAGTGTTTCTCAACCTTGACAATTTTAAGGCATGTGGACTTCAACTCCCAGAATTCCACAGCCAGCAATGCTGGCTGTGGAATTCTGGGAGTTGAAGTCCACATGCCTTAAAATTGTCGAGAAACACTGATTACTAGAGCAACTTTAGAGGAAGGCTGTGAAGATGGTGAAGGACCTAAAACCAAATCCCAAAAAATAAGGGAGCTGCAGAAGAGATGCAAAAGCAGTATTAGGGTTATATAAATAGTTATCATATAGAAGCAGGAGACTAACACTCTCCTAACACTCTAGTAGGGAAGGCAAGACCTAATGTGCTGGAACAACAGAGGATTCAGATTAGATAACAGGGAAGAATTTCCTGACACTGAGCAACCAACCAGGAGAATAGATTGCCCAATGAAGTGGTATTATGTCATTCACTAGAGGTATTCAGAGCCTTAACAGCCACCCATTCAAATTGTTTTACTATATCTTGCTCTAAGCATGAGGTCAGTTTAGAAAACTTTGAGGTTCCACTGAACTGATTTTTATATCAGATGTATGTATATAAAAGAAAGGAGCGATTTCTTTCCCTGACAGCATCTTAAATATGTAGTAGTATCTAGCCACACTTGACCCCTCTCCCCCTGCCAAGGAAAAGTTTGTTAATACTTGGATGGAAAGAAATTCTACGGTTGCACGACAATCTGAGTAGTTGCAAAACATCCTGGAAGAAGTCAATTGTAAATGACACCTCCGTGAAGGAACCAAAACTCAATCTTGACTTTTACTTTTAGGAGCAGCTTGCAACCCTTACAGGATTGCACAAACTGGCATTTCAAACCCTTACCTGCTATGCTACACCAGCTCTTAAGGCAACTTTGCCAGGTGTAGCATTTCTATTTCCCATACGACAAGCTGAAGGAATCACACTTGTCAATGTCTTGAAAATTTCATGAGCACTTTTCTCTGCTCTATTTACATTTTCTGTCCAGCTAGGTGGGGAGACACCTAGAACATGGCAACTGAAGAGAAAAGACACCCCCACTTCTATAGCTGCTCCTGGCATCTGATCACATTTTCTTGAATCCAATTGAATGAGAAGGTAATTCTGCTTTCCTCTGTGGGATCTTCAAAGGCAGTAATGAATAGGCCACCATAATTACCAACTTAAGCCAAACAGTAGGAGAGTAGTAAATATGTTTAAGCAGCTTTGTACACCTCTCACCTTGCAAGAGAACCTCTCAGTCACAATTCAGTCTAATGGCACTGGGAACAAGCTCCTTCTGTTATAATCAAAATATAACATAAAGGCCTCACACACAAGAATGAACAGCTGCTGTCTACTGCTGCTAGTAGAGTCTTTTGATATACGAAGTAAATGAAACAATAGTGCTGTTCTAAATTAATGGTGAGAGCAGGGGAAGGGGAGGGTGGAAAACTACAGTATAAATAAGCAACTATCCATCCAGTGATTACTTAATGCATGTTAATACACCAACTGTGCCTTAACATTTCTGGGAAATCTGCACGAACATACTTTATTAAGCTGTTGGGATGTTCTTGCCTGCCCCTAGGTTCTATTGCCTGACGTACCTCTAAGGATTCACACGTTTAAGTTATCAAGCAGTCACCATTTCAGGGTTAGAGGCCACTCATATGCCTCCTTTTTAATGGAAAAAGGCATTTCCCTTGCAGATCCTTCAGCAAGTATGAAGATGTCAGCTACCTTTGCAAATAATCTGGCACATCTCTGCAGCAAAAGGGGTTGAATCACTCCTGGAGTAAAAATCCTGCAAAATCTATCACTAGGGAGTTGATGTGAAAGAGGCCAGCACACTCAAAGCCTGGAATGATGTCAGCCAGTTTAGTAGTGTTTTCTGCAAGATATATTTAAATGACCCGGCACACAATATTTCTTTCTAAAGCATGTTGTCTTTTTTCCTGTAGAATCCATTGTTCAATTCCAAACATAGAACATTGAAACAATCGTTTTCTTTGGAGTGGGTCCACGTAGGCTGTCATCTTTTAGACTCGGATGATTGGTTTGCATCTTCTGCCTGGAAGCACCTGGAGCCATGAAGCTTTGTCCTCCTGTGGAAGTGGCACGGGGTGAAGATGCTTCTTTTGGTTTCTTAAGAGCAGCACTTCTAGTCTCGCATCTCAAAATAGTCGTTTCATGGAATTTAGTTCAAAACAAAAACCCAGCTTATTCTGAAGTAGCAGCCGAGCCAGAATTGTCCAGATACACAAAGATATTCTTCATTATGGCGGTACTGAAAAGATAGCCATTCAAAGAGACTTTTGTTAGCTCAATGCTTTCCGTCTTTAGAGAAGTGTAAGGGAGTGGGGCAGAAGAGAGATCAAGTACAAGCAAGATTTCAAGTCAAAACCCACATAAGTCACACAATGATGGAGTGTCAGCACTCCCCTGAAAATATTAAGAGCTTAAGCTTTACAGAAAACGTTTGGGATTTTTTTTAAAAAAAGCATTAAAATATTCTGGTGACACATGCTGCAGAATGTTAAAAAACACACGTTTTGAACTAGGTTCAATTCTTATACTGACTAAAAGTGTGTAACATACAGATAGTCCTTGACTTATGGCTGGTCATGTAACGACCACTCAAAAGTTACAATGGCCTCGGAAAGGATGTTTTACAGCTTGTGAAGCATTTCCAGCCATCATGAAATGTTGCAATGCCTCCCTGCAGTTCCATGACCACTTTTAGGGCACACGGCAACTGGTTCACATTTACCACCAGTCGCAGTGTCCTCTGGTCATGTGACCCCAATTTGCAATGGTTTTTGTTTTGCCAGTTTCTGGCATTTTTCCATTGGGGAAAAAAATCAGGTCAGTCAGTGGTGCGTCGACTTCTGGTCGCAATGGCTTACGACCAAAATTCTGGTCCCAATTGTGGCCACAAGCCGAGGAGTAGCTTTACACCTTTAAGTAATGGTTAAGAAAGTACATTTAGATTTTAAACTCAATCCTTACAAAACATTCAAGAGATCACGTTTCAAAGCATTATTTTCCAGACAGATTTACTGCAACACATGGGTAGTTGAGAGTGAAGAATTGAAATTACGTTGAGTGGAGGGGAAATTACGGCACATAAATAAAATCCCAGGCTTTCTTAAATGAAAAAAAAACTCTCTATGGCTGCTAGGGAAGCCTGACAGCAGGGGAGTTCTTTTGGTCCTGCAAGAATCCATATAATTCTTAGCTGGCAACAAAGAGGGGGTGTTTCACTTGTTGCCATCACTTAATTTGGATATAGTATATTCTTTCAACATGCTGCAAAAAATTCTGGAGCATTGGACAGTATCACAGTATCTTTTGACTTTATTTCTCTATTAGTAGAGAAATATGCATAGACGTGTCTCAATTGGCTTTCAAAATGTCTTTAATTTTTTTTCCAAGCTGTAAATGCTATCCCATTTGCCTAGGATTAAACCAATGTTTTTCAACTTTAGCCATCTCGAGATATATGGACTTCAACTCCCAGAACTCCCCAACCACCTTGAATTCTGAGAACTGAAATCCACATATCTTAAAACTGATAAAAGTTGAGAAACAACTATTTAAACTCTGCTCAGAATACTACTTTGTTGCTCTTACTGATGTTTTTGGGAGCAGAGAAGATTAGGCAGCTACTCTTGAGATTTGCCTCAATCAACTTCTGATTACCTTGTTAGAATATGGACATCAACTAGACCTCACAGATAATTGGACTTCCTCACATGCTTCTGAACAGCAGGTCAATAAGAAATTGAAAACTGGGCCTACAACGCTCCCAGCTATTCAAGAAGACCAACGCTCCTCGTGATTTGAAGAAATCAGGCTTTCATATTGGGAAAATCAAATAGGGAGATCAGAAACTTCTCCCACTCAAAATGCTGGAAGAAACATATTTTCAATCCATGTATCTCCACCCAAAGTCAGTTTAGCAATTGCAAAACTGAAGTTCTGTTAGAAATGTAATCAGCAAAACTTCCTACAAGTGCTCCTTTCTAATTAGCCTAACTTAACACAACAATAGATCAGAACAGAAAAACAAGAACCTACAGGCTCTACGTGCTCAGATAAAAATCTTCAGATACTTAAGATATTACAGCTGTAATAACAGAAATGCAATATCTGAATCTCATTGGTGGTAGGGAACTGGGTGCAAATGAAACTCAGCTTTTGACATCAAAAGCCTTGCCAACTTTAGCATGGGGTTTCTTAATGGAAAAGGAGTCCAAATGAGACACATTAATGCTTAAAGGAACTTTGGTGGAAATCCAAAATCTCTACTCCCAGCAGAATAAGTACAAGGGAACCACAAAGAACAGCAGGCCAAGCTTACACACTTTAAAGTTAACAAAGAAATACACATTACCTTCCAAAATATTCCCTTTCTTGTTATCATGATGTCTGGACAGAACATCCCAAAATTTCATACCACATACATTTTAGGAAGAAAGTGATGATCTTGTAGAGTTCAAGTAAACCACCTTATGACAGAATCAAGGGAAATGGAGCTTTCTTTGTTAACAGGCTGTCGTGGGGAAATGTCCAAAGGTAAGATCCAGGAGAAACCATGATCCTATCTATTTATTAATCTGCAGTTAATTCCACCAAACTATCAAAATGGTAAAATAATGGCAACATTATTTTATCATAAAAGAACTAGAATACTTCCGTATTCTTTTGGAGTGAATTTTGCTACACACTTTTAAGTTCTGGAAACAATAAAGGAGTTGTGCAATTTTGTTTCCTTGTGTGTTTGTGCATCTAGAGGAGTATATATTCTCCCCAAGATGTAAACACAAGACAGAAGGAAGATGCAGATTGCCATTCCCCCCCCCCCATTCCTGCATTTAAATCTTGACATCTATCCAGCAGAAGCATCTCTTAAATTAGCAGAACTCAAATATAAGCTTCTCTTTTCAGATAACTGATAATCAAAGCCACAAAAACACAAGATTTTAGCAACCACAGTATGCCTACTGATTTTGTCTTCTACACTGCAGTAAAACTGAGATTACAGGTCTGAAAAGTAGAGTCACTACAGCTGTCTGATGTACAACACAAACATGCACATATTTTACTTATGGCCTGTATTAGCCTGCCAGGGCCAGTCTGCCTCCCTGTAGCAAAACTGAATTCCAGCCCTATGCCCAGACTTGCTAGGACTCTATTTGCCATTTCCTCTATTTTCAGGAATGCTGAGTATTGAGACTGACTTTAGTTTAGATTTAGGCCTGCAGCTTTCTGTGTATAACATTCTATTGTTCTATTTAACATTAGTTAGCATTACAACAGTGGGTGCAAACTATGTACCCTTGACATTTCCAAGTGCACAGTTCTACTCTGGAGGAAAACAAATATTCTCAGTATGAGTGGCTTTTCCTCCTTTAAAGGTCCATGATTATTTGGCAGGCTTGGCTGTGCTGTAAAAGGCCTGGGAAAGGAATCTTGTAGGTGATGGAATAATTTCTGCAAGATCTGCTTGTGAGTCGACATATATATGTATGTTCGTTTAACACTGGCAAGAGTCCTGTTATGATAAGCAGAGAAAAGGCATCTGGTGGCTCTGCGATGTGATGGGAATGACCGCACAGTGGTTTCTTCCAGTCTAAACCACCTGTCCCATAGCAGAGCATTTGTAGAGTCCAATGTTACAGCCCAGGGAATCCACTTCCAGTGTAAGTAGTATTTGTGTGTATGAATGCCCCATTTCTTCCTTGAGCAAGATAAGGAGGATATGAGAAGAAGAACCACGAGGACAGAGAGTTATGTCACTGATAGCCATCCACAGCAGAACACAGTATCAAACTCTCTTAGGGTATTTTCCGTAAGAGTTTTCTCTGGAGGACAGGAACAGCGCTAAGATGTCTGCACAAAAGGAGCCCAGAAAAGAATCCGAGCCCCAAACTATCACAGCACAAAAAACAGAATAAGCACCACCACAAGGATAACAAGGAGGATGATAATTGCACACCACTGTCTTCGATCTGCCAGTAAAAACAAAATCAAGAGGAAGAGAAATTAGCTGTATACTTGCCAGAGATGCTACTTTTTTCACCGAGAACAATGCTAGAGTTAAGTTAGGACTGGGGGGAAGGGGGGGAGAGGGAGAGACAGCAGTAAGAAAAAACATGATGTTAAGGGAGACCTTCTGCAAAACAACCCACTTAGATATCGGGACACGTCAATCAATATGGTATGCACCACAAACAACTCACTCCTTGATATATCAATTCCCTGAATCAATGGCAGCATATTGCTTTTTACCAGCATTTTTTAATTAATTGTTCTTTGTTTATTACATCATTTTATATGGCCACCCATCTCATAGATGCAACTGGGCAGCTGTCAACACATGAAAAACAATAAAAACATTATCAATAAAACCTAAAAACTTACAATGGACATCAAGAAAAAAAATCTAAAGCCAGTAGGCAAGGCTTGGGCCACCTAAACCTACGACTCTTCTGGTCTGAAGCACATGCAAGTCTTCCATGCTTTGCAAAAGTGTCAGGTGCCAAATTAATCTCTTTTTTATTATTTTAATTTTCTATCTTCTGACTTTAAGGTTGCACTTTTATTTTCTCAAACAGTACAGACTTCGCAGGTCTGAAACAAGTGCTTTGAGACATCCGACTGATGTAGAGGCTGCAGCTGCTGAAAACTGTCTTGCCTTGCATGATGGAAAAATTGACATTTTATTACATTTTTGTTAAGATTTCAGGCTACTTACCATTAGTCATATGGGATACTTTTGCAAGTTTCTTCATAACATTATCTAGCCGAGACTGGGTGCTGTCCACCTCATGAGAGAAATCATCCAACATGCTGCAAGCATAGGAACACTGCATTGATTATGTTCTGGATGGATGTTGTTTCTTCACTAGCATTTTATAGCATCGCCTAACACTGTTCCTGTATTCATTACTGATATAATGGCATACGCATGAACTGAATATTAGAAACTTGAGGTCCCTATGATGCAATGGCCTATGTGCTGAAATTTGACATAAGAAAAGTTAGGCAAGATGTTACAAAAAGTTGTTACCTAACAGAGAAGTAGATATAATTTGGAAGAGTCTTGGAGTCTATTTCCTCATGAGACTTGATTGTAGCTATCATTTCTCTTTTCTCTCTTTCAGTCATTACTTTCTCCACAATTTTCCCTTCTTCATTTATTCATTCCGTCTCTCTCACACAAAGTTCACACGCTCTTTCACTTATATATAAATTTTCTTATACCACAGCCTTCCAAATCAATTATTACAAAAAGTTCCAACTATAAGTTACATAAGACACACGTAATTATCTCCTAACAGTATTAGTAATGGTAAGGATACAAAACCCTTTCCCATTTCAGCCATCTGTCTGTTCGTTACCGTTCTACTCTTATCTTATCTATTGGGGTAATCAGCAGGTATGTTCAAAAATATTTTGTCTTCCTGATGAATAGAAGAGCAACAAGGATAGGGATAATTTCAAATGGGAAATAATTTCTTAGTTCATACTGGCATCTTCCTATCCCATAACTATTTTTATTTTCTAAAAATTCTTTATATACTTAATATCTAATTTGGAAAATAACTGACATTACAAAAATACAAATTGAGGAGTAGTATACATGTTTGTTTTCAAACATTATTTTTTCAGATGTAATAGAAAAGCAGCAATCTTGTTTTTTTAAGCTTAAAGTTAATTGGACAGGATTGGGAGAATTGTAATAATGAATTACTGAAACTCTTTAAAAAGCAAGCAAACTGATTGCTTGAGTCTATTTGTGAGAAGCAATTATCTCCAGAAATAAAAATATTATCATTTGAAATGGTAGATTCTATTAGTAAATTTCCCCTTTGTCTGCATTGGTACTTTTTATCAATGTCTACCACCCTGAATGAATAGTTTCTTTGAGTTCCATTTGTTCATTCCAAAATGTGTTTTAAGGATAAATGACTTTGCTTTTATTTTATTTTTTGTTTGTTTGTTTGTACAGATAAGGACTCATGCTGCTGATTCCGTTTCATGCAAGCAGGGTTTCAATTTGCTTAATACTCACACAGCTTGTTCATCCAACTCCCCTCCAATGCGTTGGGACATATTCTTTAGTACTCCAATACTTCCAGAGACCAGCTCCAACTGTTCATCCTGTTGATCAATGATTAACTGGAACACAGAACAGAGAGGTGGGTGAGGGGACAGGAAGAGAGGAAAGAGTTATGTAGTTCAAATTATGCATCAAAAAGATAATTGGCTTCTGACTGCAAAATGCTCTATCTTCTTGAGCATCCAGAGACTACCTTGAAGAAAAAGTTCATCTTGCCATAAAAATGACTGAAAACTTATCCTTCCCTCCTCTGAACATTTTTTCCTAAAGAAAAAAAATCCCACCTTACAGTCCTGACCAGATCTGAAAAGGAAAACTGAATTCCTTCACCCATGGTTTGTCTAGCTAGACTCTCAGTAATACTTTTTAATTTAAATGGGTATGAGTTCTTGATAAAGTGGAGAATGACACGCCAACATTCAGAGAAGGGACTTCCTTGACTCAAAGCCCAGTTCAGGGATATCTTTAACCCTGAGAATGTGTATCTATGTGTGGGAGAGGAGCATCCTCATTTCTGTGTCTTCGTACAAAGCAGAAAAGGTTCATTCATACTTGCTATCGGTACCAAATATATGTGTCTCCCTGGATTTCCCTTGTTCTTTATTTGGATACTGTGTCAGGTTGTGTATGTGGGACGAATATACAACTGGCCACTCCCAGACACTCTTTGAGAAAGAAATGCTCTTATCACCTTGAAGGCATGATGCTCACTGTCACCTCCTGACTCCCCCAATCTGAAATACAAATGCGAATGCATATGAATCTCACCTATTATCTTAAGAGCCTGTGAGATTTCTGGGTGAAAGCCTCATCTAGAAATCCTATTCTATAAGTGGCTAGTTGGAATCTTTGCACAGAGAGACAGATCCAGACTACCTGCTGCTGTGCTTGCTGATCTTCAATGAAGTGTGAATTTGCAGACTGCAGTTCTCGATCCAAGCGGCTGTATTTATCCGTCCTGGAACTCCAGCTGTGAGTTCTACTTTCTCCCAGAAGCACCTGCATAAGAATAGGAAATACAGGGTCAGTTATTGCATGTTATTGAAATTGAACCCTTGCAAGACAGAGATGCTGTTTGTCCAAAAACACGTGGATCTTTTGTCATCTCCGGATTAGATTCTAGATGGGCCGGCACTCGCTTGAAGCAGTAGACGTTATATTTGAGGGTTCTCCTGGATCCACAGCTACTGCTGGATTTGCAGGAAGAGACTAAGGCGAGGGGATCTTTGCTCAGCTTTGACTGATGCGCTGGTGGCAGTCCAACCTTGAGTGGGACGTCTTGGTGCCAGTAACTCATGCTCTCACCCCCTCTAGGTTAGACTATTGCAACATGCTTTAATGGGGATGCTTCCAAATATTATTTATAAACTGCAACTGGTGCAAAAAGTGGTGGCCCACATACTGACACGTGAGAGTAATACCTACTACAGCTGTACTGACTTTCAGTTGGCTTCTTGGCTCAATTCAAAGTGCTGCTTTTAATAACGTGAAGCGTAACATAAAACATAGATGCCTCTCTGCTATCTACAGGAGTCTCTTTCAGGGAATACTGCACATCCCAAGAAGGGATTTTTTTTAACATTCTCCCCATCTAAGAAGTTGGGAGGGGGAGGGGGAAAGAGAGAATGGAGAAACAGAAGCAATGTTTCTCTGTGCAGCCCTTTTGCTTTTGAATAACGTTTTCCAGAGAAGATTTATTAGGCACTCACTAACTTTCTTTTAGAAAGCCATTACAATAGTATTGTTTAACAGAAATTTTTGGCTTAGGGCTATCATCATCGGTTAATTGACACTTTTTAATCATTATCAATTGTATGAGGGGGGTTTGTTTGACTGTTGTATTCCATTCAGTCTCTACTAAGGGGGATGGACTATTAACACTGTAAATAAATCAACAAACAAACCCACTCTGTTATTTTAAACTGTTTATTAGCTATTTTGATTGTATTTTTTTTATTTAAAACCTCCAGAATGTATACTTGATTATGGGGCATGCAAGAATGGTAAAGCAAATGGACAAATGCAGCATATAAATCTTATGACTCAGACTGATTTCATCACATTTCCAAAATCAGATGTTTAAGACTCAGTAAGTTTCTATTTTCAATGCTGCTGCTGCTGCTGCTATAGCTCAGTTTTCAAGCAGATTATTAAGAAGCAATCTCCTTCTTTCTCTATAAAAGGAACAGTGGTAACAGAAAAAAATCATACTAGTTTGAAACTAAGTTGTTAAAGAGAAGATGAACTATAGTAATGACAAATGGCCAAGAAGAAAGCTCTGCTTATTTTAATCTACATTTACATCTTAACTTTGCTGTTTCCGAACTATGTCAGATCCAGAACAGTATGAACATACAAGATTTGACTATTAATTTTTAGAAAAGCTTATATCTGCACAGTTTATCATGTACAGGCAATACTTAAGAATAATATTCTGTTTATATAGCTTTAAAGAGCACACAAATAGATGTCTGATCACTTGAAATCCAATCAGTCTTGAGCTCTTAGTATGTCCAGGAGAGGCTCAGGGAACTGATTGGCTTACCAGCATCTCTTCTCCATAGCAAGACAAAGGTACTGCTGCTCCACAAACTCATCTTCCACCAAAGCTATGTCTATATTTGGAAATGTACGGTTTCTGTCTTCAGCAGCCCCAGCATTCACTTCTTGACGGATTATCAATGTGAGCATAACAATAATTCCCTCCCATCCATTAATCTAGGGGGAAAGCATGAACCAAGTCCGGTATGCTTTCTGGACTAAGGGAACCTTCCCTTTTAGGTGGGTACAACTAAACACCTAGTCCAGTCACAACTAACGAAGTTGGCATCCAAGATGCAAGGTAATCCAGTTATTAGTACTTACCTGCCTGTTTTTCTTTTCAGCCAGCGCTTGAACAGAAGTATTTGACATTTGATCCTTCATATCCTATTGTTTTTTTAAAAATATATATATATATATGAGTTAGCATAATTGACTAATACGGGTAGTTCAATCACCATAAAATAATTTATGTGACAAATAAAACCCAACTACATTGTCTTTTTCTTGCTTTGTTTTCTTTGGGAATGTTCCAATAACAAAAAACCTTGTAAGTATTAATTCAGGGTCAATAAGCAGATATTCATTTGCATATTTATTTCAGGAATCAAGACTAAATATAATCCACTGGAAAAGGAAATGGCGATGCAATACCAGTATTTTGCCAAGAAAACCAAATGGACATTCACGAACAGGACAATGTCAACATGATGTTGGAAGATGGGCCCTTCAGCTAGGAAACTATTTCACAAGTGCTGTGGAACAGTGGAGGGCAAGTACAAGCAGCGCCAGTGTTTATCATGTGGCTGAGTTAAAGCTGAAAGAATGCCAAACTGCTGATACGGCAAGAGGAAAAAAAAAGTTTGATGCTGCAAAGATATGTACATCACTAGTTTATGGAATGTTGTCAGGTTTACAATCAAACTAAACTTGATATTGCACAGCAAAGTCAGGATTGAATACTGACAATGTAGGAATTGGCAACTTGGAATGCAGTGCACATCAGTGTCAAATCCTTGATGAACAAAAAAAAACATAGAAAAGAAGGAGTAGCCAATTAGCTATCATTATTAGAAAAAGATATGAAACACAGTACCCAAACACAACTTCCCAAGTGACAGAATAATCTCAATTTGAATCCAAGGCAAGCTAATCAGTGTTATAATTCTAAATTTATGTTTCAGCCATAGATGCAAACAAAATATAAGTTGAACAGTTCTATATGTCTGGTAACATCTTGATAAAAAAACCCACCCAAAAGAGACATCATATTAGCTATAGGAGACTAAAATGCTGAAGTTGGAAATGAAGTAACATATGAAATAATGGGGGAATTTGGCTTTGGTGCACAAACCAAAGCCGGAAACAGAATAAAAACAAAAGATAAAATTCATAGAAAAGAGGTAATACAAATGTACAGAAAAATTCTACAAAAAGCATCTCAAAATTGATATGTCTAAAGATTTGATCATGGAACTAGAACCAGACATTCTGGTCAACAAAGTTAAATGAACCCTAAAAATTATTTCTAATGCTAAAGTTCTAGAAACCAATGAAATATTATTTTCAACATCTTACAACTTGATAAAGATACAGATAAAATATTACATACAGTAAGTACAGGTAGTCCTTGACTTATAACTGGTCACTTAGTGACCGATCAAAGTTATGATAGAGTCCCCAAAAAGCTCTTATGACCCAGTTCCAACAGCTGCCAACATCAGCATTTGGGGCACATGGCAACTGGCCTGCGTTTATGACCATTTTGCAGTATCATACAACAGTCATTTACAACATTCAGTAACTGTTACTAAAACACAACTTAGCCAAGAAAACAAGGAACCAACAGAAAGGAACTCAACCCTCCCCCGCATGACTCTATTTCATTCAAGGGGAAGAAAGGGGAAACACTCTCAGGCTTTTAAGATTCCGTTATTATGGCCTACTACATCAATAAAGTAAAATACTAGTATTTCTTGTGGTATCTCAATCCTGACAGGGCTTCTTGAAGACCTCATAGCCAGATTAAAAAAAAGGTTGACAAAAAGCAAGCTGGCTAGTTATTATCACTGATACCTTCTGTTTACAAGAATTCAAAGGAGCGATCACTATTAAAGACAATCTTGGAGAAATAATGTTCACTATGACATAAAGAATTAGAAATGATTGACAAATGAGCAAACTACCACAAATATGGAAACCCAGAAATAAAATACTTTTAAAAAATACTTAAAGCAGGCATCTTGAGAACTACTGTAATGCCACAGTCTAGAGACCCAATCCTCCCTAACTGGTATAAAGGCATTTTGTTTTTTGCATTTTCATGAATTCTGCCTTACAGTATTGAGGAAAGTGATGGATTGTCATTGTAGAAAACGAGAAAAATCCTGTTTTATTAAAACAGAGATAAATATTGGAAGCTATTTTTATGACCTGCCCTCAGAAACATTGCATTGCAGGACCAAAATTCTGTTTTTGTTCATGAACAGCAATTTTGTGAGATATCTTCATTTTCTGTTTAATTTCATGATGAATTAGGCTGTTTATGCTGTAACAAATAGGTAGAATTTTTTTGCACTATATCATAGCGTGGCCTCAAGAAAGCCAAGTGTCTTACCCTAACCACTTGCCGAGTGCTTGTGATGAAGGCTTTTCTCACATCTAGTTCTGTGGCATCAAGATTGAATTTCCGAGGATTTGCTTCAACAATGCGTTGAGAATAATCAGTTAAGGGATTACATTTCAAATGCAGTTTTTATTTATATATTTTCATGAAACCTTTAAAAATTAATAGTGTTAGTACACAAGGAAAAACTGTTCTATTAGCATTTTTAAAACTGCTATGCTCTTATGACTTGCTTTGTTTCCTGTTTTGTAAGATCCTGGGCTAAAACCATTATTAACAATGCTACATAATTCAATTTTGATGTCTTTTGGTGGCTAGGTGCTTCTTAGAGTTACACTATTAAAAGTATTTTCCTTTAATAAGGTTCCATTTGTGACTACAGACTGGGTAAAAGGAAAGCAACATATATATATATATTTGTTTTCTGAGGTTTTCGCGGGTATTTGTATATAGGTCTTTGGTTGTTCGGGTTTTCTCCCACGTAAAATTGGAAGTGTCTTGGCGACGTTTCGACGAAGTCCCATTCGTCATCTTCAGGCTGGTGCTTTCAGCTTCGTGCTTTGAGCAGCAATGTGTGGTCTTAGCTGTTTCTTCCTTTTAACTGCCAGTGGGGGTATGAACTGATTGGGTGGGAGCTTGGCTGTGTTCTGATTGGGTGGAGGTGTGTTCTGAATGGTTAGGGGCTTGGCTGTGCTCTGATTGGCTGGGGGAGTGTTCTGTTTGGTTGTGCTCAGGTTAGTCTGAGTTGCAGAGGGGTTTAAGATTTTGGGCTGCCTTGCTATTTTCTGGCTTCGCGTTCGTGGTCGTGCCTCCTCTTCATGGAGGGTGTCAGTTTGCTTCATGTATGGATTGGAGGGGTTTAAAGTGGCTAATGATGCAGCTGTGGTCTGGCTTCTGGTTTGTGGTCGTGCCTCGTCATCGGTGTGGCTTTGGGTTTGTTTTTTGCGTGGATGTGTGTGGTGACATCCTGTGTGGTTTTTGTGAGTGTGGGTCTGGTATCATTTTTTGTGTTAGGGAGTCGTTTGTCAATAAGGGCGGGTTTCCAAATGGCTGGTAGGCGGGAGGTATCATCTCGCTTGTTCATGCTGTGTGGGCGTTTTTCTATCTCGATGGCTTCTCTGATTATTCTGTTATTAAAATGTTCACTTTTGGCAATGGTTCTGGTATTTTTAAAGTCAATTTCATGTCCTGTGGCTTTAAGGTGTTGGACCAGGGAAGATGTTGGTTCCTCTTTTTTGACTGAGTTCTTATGTTCTTCAATGCGTGCACTTATTCTTCTGTTGGTTTGTCCGATGTATGTGGTGGGACAAGTGGTGCATGGGATTTCGTATACTCCTTGATTTTCTAATTCAATTTTATCTTTGGGGTTTCTAAGGATGGTGGATATTTTTCTGTTTGTGCAGAATGCTGTTTTGATGTTGTGTTTATGGAGGATCTTACTGATTCTGTCTGTGGTGCCTTTTATGTATGGGAGGAGGGCTTTGCCGTTTTCTTGTTCTTTGTCTTGGATTTTAGTGGGGGTTTCTTTTTGGATTAGGTTTGTAATCTTATTTCTATGGAATCCATTGGATGTTAGTACATTGGTGAGAGTGTGTAGTTCGGGTTTTAGGTGTTGTTCGTCAGCTAAGCGTTTTGTTCTGGAGATGAGTGTCTTGGCTACAGAGTTGATCTGTGCTGGGTGGTGGTGTGAGAGAGCGTGCAGATAGCAGTTTGTGTGTGTTTTCTTCTGGTAGATGGTGTGTCCTAGGGAGCCATTGGATTTCTTGTAGACTAAGACATCCAGGAAGGGAAGTTGGTTGTTAGCTTCTGTTTCCATGGTGAACTGTATTTTGGGGTGTAGGCTGTTGAGGTGTGTGAGGAAGTTGTCCAGTTTTTCTTTCCCATGTGGCCAGATTATGAAGGTGTCGTCTACGTATCTGAGCCAGAGTTTGGGTTTGTGATCCGATTTTTCTAGAGCTTGGGTTTCAAAGTGTTCCATGTAGAGGTTGGCAATGACAGGTGAGAGGGGTGATCCCATGGGTGCTCCTTCTGTTTGTTTGTATTTTTGTCCATTATAGATGAAGTATGTGTTGGATAGGCAGTGGTTGGTCAGAATCCATCACCTCACACGTAAAAAACTCATTCCAGTTTATAGAGATCATAAAGAAACAAAACTTACAGCCCAGCGACCTACTAGTGAGCTTCGATGTCATATCCCTCTTCACCCAAGTGCCTATCAAAGAAGCCTTGACAGCTATTCAAAACAAATATAACCCCCCCAAACACATCTTAGATCTGACCAACCACTGCCTATCCAACACATACTTCATCTATAATGGACAAAAATACAAACAAACAGAAGGAGCACCCATGGGATCACCCCTCTCACCTGTCATTGCCAACCTCTACATGGAACACTTTGAAACCCAAGCTCTAGAAAAATCGGATCACAAACCCAAACTCTGGCTCAGATACGTAGACGACACCTTCATAATCTGGCCACATGGGAAAGAAAAACTGGACAACTTCCTCACACACCTCAACAGCCTACACCCCAAAATACAGTTCACCATGGAAACAGAAGCTAACAACCAACTTCCCTTCCTGGATGTCTTAGTCTACAAGAAATCCAATGGCTCCCTAGGACACACCATCTACCAGAAGAAAACACACACAAACCGCTATCTGCACGCTCTCTCACACCACCACCCAGCACAGATCAACTCTGTAGCCAAGACACTCATCTCCAGAACAAAACGCTTAGCTGACGAACAACACCTAAAACCCGAACTACACACTCTCACCAATGTACTAACATCCAATGGATTCCATAGAAATAAGATTACAAACCTAATCCAAAAGAAAACCCCCACTAAAATCCAAGACAAAGAACAAGAAAACGGCAAAGCCCTCCTCCCATACATAAAAGGCACCACAGACAGAATCAGTAAGATCCTCCATAAACACAACATCAAAACAGCATTCTGCACAAACAGAAAAATATCCACCATCCTTAGAAACCCCAAAGATAAAATTGAATTAGAAAATCAAGGAGTATACGAAATCCCATGCACCACTTGTCCCACCACATACATCGGACAAACCAACAGAAGAATAAGTGCACGCATTGAAGAACATAAGAACTCAGTCAAAAAAGAGGAACCAACATCTTCCCTGGTCCAACACCTTAAAGCCACAGGACATGAAATTGACTTTAAAAATACCAGAACCATTGCCAAAAGTGAACATTTTAATAACAGAATAATCAGAGAAGCCATCGAGATAGAAAAACGCCCACACAGCATGAACAAGCGAGATGATACCTCCCGCCTACCAGCCATTTGGAAACCCGCCCTTATTGACAAACGACTCCCTAACACAAAAAATGATACCAGACCCACACTCACAAAAACCACACAGGATGTCACCACCACACATCCACGCAAAAAACAAACCCAAAGCCACACCGATGACGAGGCACGACCACAAACCAGAAGCCAGACCACAGCTGCATCATTAGCCACTTTAAACCCCTCCAATCCATACATGAAGCAAACTGACACCCTCCATGAAGAGGAGGCACGACCACGAACGCGAAGCCAAAAAATAGCAAGGCAGCCCAAAATCTTAAACCCCTCTGCAACTCAGACTAACCTGAGCACAACCAAACAGAACACTCCCCCAGCCAATCAGAGCACAGCCAAGCCCCTAACCATTCAGAACACACCTCCACCCAATCAGAACACAGCCAAGCTCCCACCCAATCAGTTCATACCCCCACTGGCAGTTAAAAGGAATAAACAGCTAAGAGCACACATTGCTGCTCAAAGCACGAAGCTGAAAGCACCAGGCTGAAGATGACGAATGGGACTTCGTCGAAACGTCGCCAAGACACTTCCAATTTTACGTGGGAGAAAACCCGAACAACCAAAGACCTATATATACATACATACATATGTATGTATATATACATACATACATATATATATATCAACTTTATACCCTGTGTAAATGTACAAAGGTATCCATTTATAAAGTGTATGTCTTATACTTTTACAAAGGACAGAAGTTATATATTTCTGGGTTCAACAACTGCTCCAAAATAAGTTGGATGAGAACTTGTAATTATTATACTGAATAATTTTATAGAAAAACCATTTGGTTGCTTGCCTAGATACTATGTGAGTTTATTTAACTATTCACACCAAGAACAAAAAGGATATTAATTGTTTCATCTAAATCTTCAAGATCCCACTCAATGCTCCTTAAATTGTTCCTTAGCTCATTTGTGGTCCAGTCAATTTCTTCTCTTGTAGCTGTTGACGGATCTTGTAGGAGTTCTGTCCATCTCTGGAACAACCCCTGAGCAGTATTAACTGCCTTCTGAACTTCCCTGGAAGTGAAAGGAGGAGGAAAATCCTCATGAGTGCTCACATAGATAAGGTGTCATCATATAAACTATAAGTATCATGATATGAGACTGTATGTTTCCAGTAAAACTTCACTTTATAGACTAGTGCAGGGGTAGGCAACCTCGGCTCTTTTATGACTCATGGACTTCAATTCCCAGAATTCCTGAGCCAGCAGTGTGTTGGAAGGATCTCATGGAAGTCCCTTCTTAGAAATAATGACACAACACACAGGAATGCCAAGAAAGAACTTGGTCAGATTAATTCAATCCTATGGAAGAAATTCTGAGGAGAACAAACAAGGAAGCAAACTCTCATCAGTTTCAATTATCTTGGTTGCAGGAAAAAGAAAGCAACAGTAAAAGATGTCTTTTTTCCCACATCAACAAAGTACAGTATAGACTTTTCTCATTCCCCCCTCCCCTTTAAAATGTCTTTGACTAGAGAGACCTTGGTAACAAATTAGAAAAAAGGCTTCTCCAGTTTATAACACAGGGCCTTTAGTTCCAAAAGGACTCATTCAAAATTAGCAAAACATTCACAGAATGCCACTTACGCAGTAGCTTATGGCTGTTATGCACATACTATAATGAATTCAGCATGCGAAATAAGGAAACAAAGTACAGTATCTTTTAGTAACAATGATAGCGCATTCAGTATGCGGCAATAACAGCATTCCACAACCAATTATAACTTGTGCAAAAGACAACTGAACAAGCAACAAATCACAAATTACTATATTTTACTGCACCATACAAATTTCCACCTGGAAAATTATATTGAAAATCAATATATCATTTCAAAATGTGGGCAGAGAAAATAGCATTTGTTAAATTAAATTTGAAGAGGCAATAAAAACATGTAAACTGTACATTTACATCATAACATTAATTTCAAGGAATTTGCTGTATGTCAACCTATATGTGAAGCACATCCTCTATCTCAGCACAAAAGGTGCTTCAAATCATAAGAGGACAGATTGCAATGCTTAGAAGACACATGATCATGCTACCAAATGTTATTGTTACTTCTTTTAATATAATCTTGCACATAAGTTTTTGATTAGCTTTTCCTCAACCTAATGTCTTTCAGAAGTCTTAGATTATAACGTTTATTATTCCCAACCGACATACTAATGATGGCTGGGGATGGTGAGGGTTGGTGTCCAACACATCTGGAGAGGATCAGGTTAAGAAAGCTTAATATAGTAATGGAAAATAAAAATAATTGAAAGGTTGATTAAAACTGAACAATATGCAATCTTCTTGCCTATCCACATATGTGCACATATTGTACTCTCTATTTAATGCATTCTGAATGTACCAATCTTTCTTTCTTACAGTAGCTTGTTTGAATGCTTCAGCTATAACAGTATTTTAAGGCAAAAATATTTAAATGCATATTTAAAGATATATGCTTTAAAGTTGTATATTTATGTATATGCCATTGAAAATGACCAGGATATAAAAGTATCTTGCTGTGCAAATGGAAAGCTCATAATCCTGGCCTAAAGACAATATTGTAGCACAATGATCAGTAACCTTCTGCTGACATGAAGCCAAACAATGTTGTAGGATAAGAACAAGACTCATACTGGAATGATGATATGGAGGCAGGACCATGATTTTCTTCCTGGGAGTTAAGGGAGATTTGGGAGGAGGTGCAGCGTTTGTTTTTAATTCTCTTAAATCATTTTGGGAGTTGAATTATATTTGTATGCATTACACATCAAAAGGTCAGGAAACCATTCTTTGATTTTTGGTAACCTTATAAGGAGAAGGCCAAGTGGTATAAAATAGGGAGTAGGAGGACATATGAAGCCCTGGTACCACCCTATTCCATAGTGTGCCATTCTGAAATATTGTCTCCAGATATAGCACTGTCATTTAACTATCTTTAATAGATATTTACTGAAACTTTCTTGCATACATCCAACCAGTTTAGGAAAATAAACTGCTACATCAAACTGAATAATTTGGTATGTCCTGGATCAGCTATTACCCAGTTTAACTGAGAGAACTCTCCTATTTAGATTGTTTTCCCCATTTCCACCATTCTTTTTCATTGTTTAAATCTTGCATTAAGGTAGTCAACGGTACCTGTACACATCTCCATGCTTCATAACGCAGACTAATAAATCAAAGAAGACAGAGCCAACCTACCACCCTCCTTAGGATTTTAGCTAGCACTGCTGCAGACAAGTTTGTGCCTGTAACTTTATCGAGGTGTTTGCCAGATAGCATGGAAAGTTGGCTTCGACAGACGAAGATTTGCTTCTACAGTACTAGCGAGCCGATCCACCGAAAAGGAAGTGACACCTTACAACTGCATGGACCATTTTTACAACATTTCCCCTACCTCTTTAACTAACCGCACGTACTGTGTACACTGTAACATGGAAGAGAAAAACCCAGCACAGCAGGAAGATTATCCTGCACGGAGGGGAACAGGAAAACCCTCCGAGAAATAAAGACAATCAATGGCTTCACGTCCAACGGGGTGCAAAGTAAAACTGGCACGATTTCAAAGAAGAGGACCGATCCTTCTTCGACTAAGACGCAGGGGAGAGGCAAGCTGGACTAGGCCGGGAATACCACCCACACCCTGGCAAGGCCTCCTCTTCCTCCACCACCGCACCGCCCTCTCCTCCTTGCTGTCCATCCACCCACCCTTTCACCACAAAGAAGGGGTCCTCCATGGACATGACGCCTGGCGCCCGTCGCTGAGCGGGCTTGGCTCGTAGTTGTCCCCCACGCCGTGCCGAGTGCTTCCAAGGCTTGCAACTCCCCGCTCGCCCCTTCCTACGGGTTAGAGCGGCGGCAGCAGCAACACCTCTCTTCGCCCGCTCGCTCCTCTCTCCACTCTCAGCGGGTTTCAGCACCCTTGGCCCTTTCAGGAGCCCCTTTCACGTGAGGAGGGAAAGCGACACTCCCTATTGGAGCAGAAGAACGTCCACCTCGCCCCACGTGATGATGTAACACGGGAGGCTCCGCCTTCCCGTCTGAGCGTGCGGTCGAATGAAAATGCGCCGGGGAAAGGAGGGGTTCGTAAGTAATCTGGGGGGGGAGGGAGGAGGAGGAGGTATTTGTTGTAATCTCAGTTCATTGGGTTTCTGTGACATGCAGGCAGGTTTTTAAAAGTTCTCTTTCCAAAAGAACTTCTAGGGCCCCAATGGCAATTCTTATATTTATTTATTGCATTAATATCCCACCTTTCCTCCTGGGCTTAGTATAAAGCATTTCTTCCAGTTTTATGTTCAGGACAACAGCCCTGTGTGGACTAAGAGAGAATCACCTAATGAGTTTCCATGACTACAAGTGAATTTGGGTTTCCTGTGTCCTAGTCTAACAATTTACCTAGCCAAATATAAAACTACTGTATCTCAAAAGGAAAAGGTAATTGGTAAGTCCTGGAATTGGACTACCATACTGGACATGCAAAATTCTGGACTACTAGTTAACAGCAGGGACTTAAAAGCACTTTTGAAAAGTACTTTTCATTTTTGTTGCCCAGTTATGGTATCTTTATAGACATTTTAAATCTCTCTTTAAATTAGTTTTATTCTTTCTATAATGTCTCTCTTTTCTGATACATAAAACCATGGTATATTTAAGCATGGTTTATTGAATAAATCACAACAGCTGATTCATGCAATTACTTTATGAACTGCAATAGCCAAATTCGCACAATACTCTCCAACATATTTTGACTTAGAATATTATGCAAACTTAGACAATATATCATTCCCAACTTTTGTTTTGTAAAGAGCTGCTGTCATTATCACATCTTATCCAACCAGAAGATATATGTATTGGATATTTACCCTCTAACTCAGGGTGATGCTTCTGAGGAAATGGATTTAAACTATGTAAGTATTTCTCAGGCTTACTTGCATTTGTGGACTATTAAATAAGAATTAAGAAAATATAGAGAGACCAAAATAACAAAATGAGTAATCCCTCCCTGCTTTTGATTTCATCTAATAATTATAATTCCATTTGTTAATATTTTCCTCCCCCTGCATTTTAAAAGGCCTTTTATCATTGCAACAGAATGCTTCTCTCCATTTATGTTTTACTTCCCCAGCAGCTACTCCTGGCTTCAAATTTTGTTTGCACAAAACAAGAGAATTTCCTATTTTTAATATATATTGTTTGTACATGTTTGTTTCACTAACCTGTAGTTTGTTTAGTTATGGTTTGTTAAATTGGATGCATTTGCCTAACACAGGGGTAGGCAACCGAAAACGCTCAAAGAGCCACTTGGACCCGTTTCCCACCGAAAACAAAACACCGGGAGCCACAAAACCCTTTTGATATCTAAAATGAAGATAACACTGCATATATCCTTTTTTACCTTTATTATAGGTGTGTGTGTGTGTGTGTGTGTGTGTGTGTGTGTATGTGTATATATATATGTATGTATGTATGTGTGTGTATATGTATGTATGTATGTGTATATTCCATAAATGGAATGAATAAAGCGCGTTCACCAGGAGAGTTTAAAGTTAAAATACTTTAATTAAAGTATTTTACTATATTAAAAGGTTGCCAAGCTTTCGTTGGGAAAACTCCCCAACATCTTCAGGGCTGAGAGACCGTTTCTAACAAGGTGATTCAAACGGGTTCCATAGACGTCTGCACGTGGTTCCTAGACTGTGCTAGCATTCTCTGCTGAACAGCTGATAGGTGGGAGGGGGAATCGGAGTAAAGATTTCTTCCGTCGTTCTCTCGAGCACTTTTGTTCACATTTCCGTCGACCTCAGGGGGTATTGTTAAAGTTATGTTCCGCCCTCTCCCGGCAGTACTGGCTCTCGTTGCAGTGGGGGGATTTAGTTTGATGTCATTGTGTATCCTACCATGGAGGCGGGGCTTCATCGGCTGCAATTTAACATCTTTCCTCTGCTGCGTGCTCCCGTATTTATCTTCGCTCGCATGTACAAGCATCAACTGGATGTGGTATTTTTCAATGTTTGAATCATCCTCCTCCATCATGGTGTCCCCCATGCTCATCTTCCCTCGTAGGTTAATATTCAAGTTAAATCCCCCCCCATTTCTGTGAGCAAAAGTCTGTTGGTATTTGGGCAGATTCCCCGCTCATGTTACTTTCCCTTTTATCAAGCGAACGGGTCATCATCACATGTTTTTTCTCCCCTCTCTGTATGGGATATCCACCTTTATTATTATTATGGGTAGTGCTAAATTTAGTGGTTCTATCCTCAAATTTCTTAAGCGCTCCAATGTCATTATTGTTGTTTTCTCCAATTAAACGGGGTGTGGTTTCCCCTTGATATTGTTGGGAGGTTTCTGGGTAGTCTATATCAGATTGTTTCTGGTAGGGAGGAGGTGTAGCTCCTGGTTTAGAATGTTGTGGATGTTGATTGTAAGGTTTGTGATATAAAGGATGATGGTTTGAGTTCCATTTTCGTAGCGCTTGTTGTGCTGGGTGCAAGTCAATGTGACGATTGATTGAGTTGTTATTCGAGAACCAGGCTTCTTTTAGCAGCCGACCTCCCTTCGTGGCATCACTGGCTATGATAAGGGTGTTATTGAAGTCAAACTGATGGCCTTGTTGTGCCATATGCATCCAAAGTTGTGAGTGTGGTTCGCCTCGTTTTATGGCCAGTTTGTGTTCGTGGAGGCGAGTTTTCAAGCGTTTGGCTGTTTCTCCCACATAGTTGCCTTCGCAGTTTTTGCAGTTGATCTTATAAACAATAGAAGATTTCTCCATGGTAGGTAGGGGGTCCTTTGGACGCATAATTTTTGATCGTAGGGTTTGGTTAGGTTTGTGAGCTACTTCTATACCATGGGGTGCTAGTAGTCTGGCTGTGGCCTCTGAGATGTTACTTATGTATGGGAGGGAGATGCGTGTTTTTTGTAGGGGGGAATCCCTTCTTCGTTGGGTGGTCTGGTGCTGGAAAGTTGTACAATGTCGTTTGATAAATTTTAATGGATAACCGTTATATATGCACGTACGGAAGAGGTGTCTCCTCTCTTCTTTCTTATATTCATCCGTGCTGCAGTGGGAGTCAACGCGTTTAAATAACGTTTTTATGCAGCTGATTTTATGGGAAACAGGATGATTACTCTGGTAATGGAGGATTCTATCCGTGTGGGTTGGTTTACGGAATACCTTCGTATGTAGGTATCCATCTGGTTGACGGTGGATGGGAACATCTAAGAAGGCAAGAGAATTGTGTCTTTCTTCCTCTACAGTAAACTTTATGTCAGAGTAGATGGAATTTAATATTCCCATAAATGTAGTTACATGTTGTCTTTTGACAATGGCAAATGTATCGTCCACGTATCGAACCCAAATTTGGGTTGGTATAAAGTCATAGCCTTATGTTCAAGCTGTTGAAGGACTACCTCAGCTATAATACTGGAGATGGGGGAGCCCATCGGGGTTCCTTTTATTTGTTCATAGATGGTACCTTGGAATGTGAAATAAGTCTGGAGACATATTTCTATCAATTTCACGAGGTCTTCCGTCTGAAGGGAATCTTGGTGATGACTTTCACTCATAGATGTCAAACGTTCTTTCAGGACAGAGATGGCTAAGTCCTGGGAAATGGAGGTGAAGAGAGAGGTGACGTCGAACGACACCATCATCTCATCATCCTCCACCCTAAGGGTCTTAATTCTAGTTAGAAATTCTTCTGCAGATCTGACCATGGTGTTACTGCCATCTACGAAGTGGTTGATGCGGGTACTAGCAATTGCTGCTCGAAGCACAAAGCTGAAAACACCAGCCTGAAGATGACGAATGGGACTTCGTCGAAACGTCGCCAAGACACTTCCAATTTTACGCGGGAGAAAACCCGAACAACCAAAGACCTACATATATATATATATATATATATATACACACACACACACACACACACACACACACACACATTAAAAATAAAAGTAAAAATATGACTCTTGGGAATATCCATACTATTAAAACAATGATCACCAAGAGAATGCTTTAAGAGAATAAAATTACATACACACAAAGGTAAAAAAAGGATATATACAGTGTTATCTTCATTTTAGATGTCAAAAGGGTCTCTCTCTCTCTTTGTCTCTCTCCCTCCCTCCCTCTCTATCTGCCCTTGGTCTGCCACTCCTCTTCCCCCACTCTCTTTCTTTCTCTCTCTCTCTTTCCTCTCTCTCTCTCGCTCCCCCTCCCTCTCTCTCTCTCTTTCTCTCTCTCTCTTTCTCCCCCCCCCATCTGCTGCTCACCTGGCAAGCTTCAAGCTGTTGTCCAACAAGCTCAGGAGTATAAAACCTCGTCTCTTTTATGACTCATGGACTTCAACTCCCAGAATTCCTGAGTCAGCCTAGCTGGGCTAGCTAACTCTCTCCTGCCCTTCCTGCTTCCTGCTTCCTGCAGAGAGCAGCAAAGGGAGGAGCTGCTTCCTGCTTCCTGCAGAGAGCAGCAAAGGGAGGAGCTCCGCCCACTAAGCTTCTCAGCTCCTCGGAGAACACTGTGAGTGCACTCTCTTTTACACACACACAGAGAGAGAGAGAGAGAGAGAGAGAAGAGAGAGAGAGAGAGAGAGAGAGAGAGGGAGAGAGAGAGAAAAGCAGGGAAGCGCAATTGCGTCTCTCTGTCTCTGTCTCTCTCTGCAAAGGCAGAGGAGGCTGAGGGGAAGGCTCAAAGAGCCGCATGCGGCTCCGGAGCCGCAGGTTGCCGACCTGTGGCCTAACACATTAAGTTATAAATTATGATTTAGAAATCAGTGTCCTGGTTCAACATTATAATAAGACTAGCCTCTTGAGCTACTTCATACCATCAAGATACTGCACACACACACACACAAACATTTTTGAGTCAGTTTTTGGCTTCTGGGCTCATTCCTGCAATTTTTTTAGCAACATTTCAGAAGTGGTTTAAGTTGCCTTCTTCCCAGGGCTGAGAAAGAGTAACTGGCTCAAGGTCACTCAGCTGGTTTTGTGTTTAAGATTGGAATAGAACTCACAATCTCCTGGATTCTAGCCTGATGCCTTTTAATCACTATATCAAACTGGCTCTCTAAATAAAATGCACTACAGGGAAAAAGAAGATTGATTGCTCTCCCTGTGAAATTATAAAAATCTGCCTTATCCAATTGTATCTCCATACTGAATCCACTCCAACCCACTGGCACAATGCAATCTGCCTCGGGGCTTCATACCTCTTTCCCATGGACAAAATACATCTAGCCTGCTAAAATTAATATTACAACATCAATGTCTCTCATCATCAATAAAAACCAAGGACCAAACTGTTACACAGTAGGATGTATCTTACTAGATGTTGTTACTCTCATTCATCAAGGAGGTCAGCATACAGCCTTGACTGTATGTCCATCTTTTACCAATGCACAGATATGCTGTCTCTTGACATCAAAGGCACTTTTCAGTCATTAAACTTGCATCAGGAGCAGTTCCACCATGCAGCACCAAGGCTGCCCCAGTTTCTTGTTCATACCAAGGAAAAATTCCCGAGACCCTCTCACTCACTTTTTTCTCTGTTCCTTCCCTGCTTAAGCAGCTTGGATTTCTGAATGAGGTTCCTACTTTTACTAGGAGGCTACACTGTCATAAAACAAAAAAAAATGGTGTCTTTGTGCCTTTTTTTTTTAAAAAAAGAACAAAAATGGTCAAAAATTACTGGACCTTCCTTCATTTTACAGGGCACTGTCTATTCCAGGGGTGTCAAACTCAATTTCATTGAGGGCCACATCAGTATTGCGGTTGCCCTCAGGGGGCCAGGTGTGTGTGGCCAGGATGAGTGCAGCCTACTGGGTAGGCGTGGATGGAGTGGGTGTGGCCTACTGGGTGGGTATGGCCAGCTCTACATCATTCGCATCAAGGGTGCCTGTGGGGGCCTGGGCAG